TCTCGAATGCTTACTCCCGGGTGGGGAACCGGGACTAGAGGGGGTTCCCCACCGGAAGTAAAGCTCTGTTCTCTACCAGCGTGCAGAACAGCTTCAAGAGCCGTGGTACAAAAAAAAAAGAGAGAATTCCTTATTTGACAATGGAAAAATGAGTCGTTCCTTTCTTGGTCCTGAAATTTTCTTCGTTCCCTATTTGACACTCACTTCAACTTTCATCCCTAATTTGACACTACCGTCAAATCCGTTAGCTAACGGTGTTAACTGGCTGTTAAAAAGACGTTTTTGCCCCTAGAAAAAAAGCGGCGAAGCAAATTTGAGAGGGAAAAAAAACTGCGCCCGCCTCTGATGCATGCGCCCAGCTGCAAAAAAAGGCACACATTTTTTTTTCCCTCTCAAATTTGCTTCGTCGCTTTTTTTCTAGGGGTAAAAATGTCTTTTTAACAGCCAGTTAATACCGTTAGCTAATGGATTTGACGGTAGTGTCAAATTAGGGATGAAAGTTGAAGTGAGTGTCAAATAGGGAATGAAAAAAATTTCAGAGCCAAGAAAGGAACGACTCATTTTCTCAGTGTCAAATAAGGAATTCTCTCAAAAAAAAAAAACGTGCTATAAATCATTTCTATAGAAATGGCATTCTCTCGATCTCTCAATGGGGAGAACAAGAAGTATGTTGTGGAGCCGCCCACCATTGAGATATTCCATGGTCTCTCCAAGCATCTCTTCTACACCAGGTCGCCAGGTTTGTGCAATCAATCTCCTCCCCCTTTCCCTCCCCGTCTGAGAATCCCATGGCAGGTTGTGTGCACCATACTATCTTATCTCAATGCAAGATTTTTGTTATATATCACCCAACAGGAACAGATATTATTTAAACACATGCTCAAATGCACGCTCGATTTATTTTATCAGAACAATGACCGTTTGTGCTCGGTGCAGTACAGCATTTTCAGGGCGTGACATGTCGTGTCGCTAAAAAATATAAAGGATACAGATTACGCTATCATGGATTAGGTGTGTTAGTTTTTTTGTAGAATGTTGTGATTGATAATTTTTTGAAACCGGTCAATACTAGCTCTGCAAATATCAAGAAATTCCAAAACTGGTTACACTTAATTCTAGAGGTTCTTGTAGTTAGAGATGTAGATACAGTGAAGGTATTTAATTTAGTTGAGAAACTTTATTATTATCTAACTAAGGGACCGGGACATGTAGGACGGAATAAATTAGGCTTTCCAAAACTCTAAACTAATTGGACCTCTATTTTCTACTTATCAAAACTTATGCAATAAATCTATCTAGAAGTGTAACTAGATTTTACTAAGTGTGTTGCTATTTTTACCACAAAAAAGTTATACAACCTAGGTTTCAGTCCTATGAACTAGCCTAGCAAGCTAAACTAGAAAAGTAAGCACACAACCCATATAAGCAATGTAAATAATGTGAAAGCTTAAAGGTAAAGAATGCAAACCACCACCCATTAATGATTGTGATTTGTCCTGAGGTATCCCAAAGCTCGCGCTCCCTCCTAATTCTTGTTAGAGCGCCTCGCAAGGATGCCCACACGAGGGACAAGCTAACAGTCAGTTAAATCCGTGGATAACCCATGGTCCTTTCCCACACGCATGTGGGTCTCTGTGATGGCCATCTCTTGGATAACTCCCCACTGTCTTAACTATCGTGTTTTCGACCAAAACGATGTAGGTCACATGTCCCCTTGAGTACATGTTTGGCAGGCTCTCCACATGTCGTAGGGTCTCACAAGACTACAAGCTCCTAGTGTAAAAAAAAAGGTGCGCTCAAGCACCGGGCCTTAAGAGATGTGCAAACCTACTAAACACTTAGCCTAAGCCTAAAGCAAAGTATCAATATACAGGTCTAACTAACCTAAGCACTTCACAAAATACTATGTTAATCACCTATATTTCCTTAAGCACATGTGGTTGCTAGAGCACTTAGAATAGATCCTCAACTCTATAGGAACTTTAGCAACTCTAACACCTTCCAAAGGCCAGCCATGGGGATATATATATATATATAGCCCCGTAGAGCAAATATATCAGTTGGGCTCAGTCTGCAGCTTCGCAGAGAGCAGTAGAGCACTTGAAATTTTGGTGACTCCACTGGAGAATTCTGGTGCCTTGCTACATCAGCAAGCCGTTGGAATTAGTCGTTGCTCACTCAGCCGACCGTTAAAGCCCTTTTCTCCGGTGCTTTATCCGGTGCATCCACCGGAGTTTTCCGATGTCTCTAGTAAGCTTCTGCATAGCTTCGGGGTAGCAGTGCATTCTCATCTGCCCTCTCTTCTCCAGCACTGGAGATTTTCGATGGGCATTTAAACCTTCTGCAGAAGAATCCTTGTCTGCTGCGGGAGTGTTCGTTTCATGCTGCGAATACTGTTTATACTGAAATTTTATGAGAGAAAAACACCGGAAAAACAAGCTGAACTTGCTCAGCCGAACACATTCTGGTGGTTGTCCCTCAGAATCACGGACCTTTCTGGTGACACTGTCTTCCCTCTTCTCTACGAACTGCGTGACAGTGCCGAGATCCAGGGCCCATCGGACCTATCTGGTGCACATACGACAGTTTCGTGTCTTCTCTTTCACTTTGACGTTTTGGACTTCTACCATGTATTGTATGATCTTCTAAGCAGCCCCGTTGTCTTCTTTGAGGTGGTGATCACTTGATCTTTACGTTGCCTAAGTTCAGTCCATTCTTTGCATCCAAATAAAATAAACCTTATGTACTAGCGAACCATATTAGTCTATTTTATCATGTTGTCAAATCAACGACCAAAATTGACTATGGTCTAAGTACCATTTTCCTTACATTTAGGACTATATATACATATATTCAAACCTCTTTTTTTATTATCGTATAAGCTCAAATCTACGTCATATAGTATTTGTAGGGTGGCTCTAGAGGCTTTGTATGGGTGGTTTGCTCACACCAGCCGTCCCTACAAATCGATTTGTAAAGGCGGCCGCTCCTATAAATCAATTTTTAGAAATCACGAGAAAAATGGCAAAAAAATAGTAATTTTTTTTTAATCCGAGGAGGTTCCCACCGGCAGCCACACACCCACTATATGGTTTGCAGCATTTTTTCACGATTTTTGCACACTTTGCGTCAGCCAGGATTCGAACCCGCAACCTCTCCCTCGTATGCAAACTCCTCTACCAGTGCACTTCACGATCATTTGTGTCTACGATCCATTTTGGTTCCCCACATATTATACAAAATTGAGCATAAATTGATTGTTTGAGGCCCTAAACTAATTCAAATAAAAAAGTTGTTAACTACAAAGTTTTATAATTTTTCGAGATCTACAACTTTTATTTTGATAGTTTCTCCATCCGAGGTCACTTATAAAATTTGAATTTTAAATTTAAGAAATTCGAACGTAGTTTTTCATGACAAAATAATTTCAAATGAGAAAGTTATCAACTACAAAGTTTCATAAGTTTTCAAGATCTATAACTTTCATTTTTACTGTTTGTCCATCCGAGGTCGTTTAAAAAATTAAAACTTTAAATTTTTGAAAATTCAAACGTAGTTTTCCTTGACAAGATGATTTCAAATCAAAAGGTTGTCAACTACAAAGTTTCATAACTTTTCGAGATCTATAACTTTTATTTTGGTTATTTCTCCATCCAAGGTCGTTTACAAAATTTAAATTTAGTGCTTAATTTTTAATACTCGGTGTCTATTTGTAGAGGTTATTAAATATTGAGTCGGCCCTACAAATCTGATTTGTAGAGACGGTTGGATATAGAGTTGCCCCTACAAATCGGGCTATTTATAGGGGCGGCTGATAACATCGGCCGCCCCTACAAATCTATTTGTAAGGACGGCTCATTTGACAACCATTTGTAGAGGCGGCTCAATATAGAGCCGCCCCTATAAAGAAAGGGAGACGTTGCCACAAATCGTTTTTGTAGTAGTGATTCAAACCTCTTTTTTTATTATCGTATAAGCTCAAATCTTGTATAGATTCGGAGCCAAATTAAGCTTTGAAGTTGTTGGTCACTGACAGAAATTATCAACATGCATATTTGAATTTAAATTTGATCCCTGCCATGGTCCCCTGGAATAGTTATGGACACCCATAATGAATTCACGATATGTGCATATGCGCATGCATTGAACACACTAGAATAGCAATTTTTATTTCCAATTATTTCCTTAATTTAAGCAATGATCTCATGTGTTAGATGTATGCACATGTACATTATCATGAATCCACAGTGTATGTCCATGATTGCACTATAGGGATCATCCCTGCTAAATTTTTTTCTTAACGGACAGACGTCCTAAGAGTCAATTGACGTTGTGTAGTGAGACAGAGAATGTGATTAATGAATATTATAAAAGTAAAAAAAAAATGAAATGCACTATAGTTTTTAAACTTTTCAGATTGATCATCTAGCTTGATCCTTTAACTTTTAAAGTGGTTTATTCAAAAATGTAAATTCAGGTCCATGATTTAACCTACGGCAAACTTGAAATTAATCATTTGAAAATAACCTACCACAAACTTAGAGCTAATGATTTGAAAAGTTCGAGGACTTAGATAATGAAAAGAATGCGAAAAAAATTTTAAGATCTAGGATGTATTTTACTCTAAGATAAAATAGAGATGTAATTGGACTTTTAATTTAGATCTTTTCCCTATATAAAAAAAGTGCCACGTAGCCGCCGGTGGAAGATAAAATATGGCTTAAACACTGGAGTTGGAGTGGACAGGTGTTTGGCAGTAGGGCCCTGCGCGGCGTGGTCTTCTCCGCGGCCGGCACTTGTCCGGCAACCAAGCGCCACCTCGCCCTATTCTGGTAGCTTCGGGCTTCGGCCACCGGGACAAAAGCTCGGCAGCTGTGTGCGTGCGCCTGTGCCCGACGCAACCAATCTAAATCACCGCTACACACAGAGTCCGCCTGTGTTGCCTTGCCTCCTCCTCCTCCCTGCCGGCTGCAGCTGCTGCTCGATCGGCCGCGCGCGGCATGTCGACCACCAACACCACCAACGCCGCCTCCCAGCAGGTACGTACGCTGTACGCAACCACAGGAATCGACGGCTTATCGTTTGATTGGGAATAATCTGTTTTCTGATCTTATTGATCGGTATATGGAAGGACGCTGCGGACAAGAAACCGGCGCAGGAGACGGTGACGAAGACGGTGCAGACGGTGGAGGTGCGGTCGTCGGCGGGGCAGCCCGACGAGGAGGGCGTGCTCAAGCCCGTGAAGGTGGTGCACGAGATCCCCGCCAAGGAGGCCAAGGACAACTCCGGCGTCAAGCAGGACTAGCTAAGCTCTCCTACGTAGCTAGCTGGCTAGCTACTCGATCACGCTTCGATCGTCTACGATCGAAGGTACTCCTAGTCGTGTGATGGATGCTGCTGCTGCTAAGCTGAGTGGATGTTGCTGCGGTAGCTATGTGCAGAGATCCTACTATCATCATTTCAACCCATACATCCTATAGTAATTGCTGAAGAGTGCCATCATCATCACATATGGAAATGAAGAATAAACAAATGTCACGTTAAGATCTTCTTGTAAATTAGTGAGCGGACATAATACTGCGTACGCAATCCCATGCGGTCTACGCGCGCGTGCTTCATTTGTAAACTTGTGCTAAGACGTCTGATTTTGTGTTCGATCTGACCTATTGATCAAGCGTCCTACTGTTTCACGAGTACTACCGAGATCCATGGATGTCTACTGCTGTCACGGTTCGTAGGCCACCTGGGAGAACGATAATACTTCTGTCTCTGCCGTCCTCCCCAATCCAGACGCCTTGCGACTCACGCTCCGCTGACCGCTTTGGTCATCCACTTAGACCGCTTTTGGTCATCCACTCGGCCACTCACCCACTCCCCCATTCCACCTCGCGTGCTCCTCCAAAAAAAAACCTGCTCGGTTCACTCCGCTGGCCGCCGCGGCTAGCCCTGCGCACGCCGCGTTTGCCCGGCCGCCTCATGCCGCCACCGCGGGCCCCATCTTGTGCGCGCCGCGTGCGCCCGGCCGCCTCACGCCGCCACTGCAGGCCCCATCTTGCGCCCGGCTGCGCACTCCGCCATCCCCCGGCAGGCACCCATCCCGCGCCGCCCCGCGCCTGCTCCGCCTCCGCGCGCCATCCACTCCATCTCCGGCCGACCATCCCCTCGACCTCCGCGCACCACACTCCGCTTTGGCGCAGCCATCCGTCGCGGCCAACCACCGCCACGCGCCCAATCCGCACTCAACCATCGCGGCCACGGCGTGCAACGCCATCACCACTCGGCACCACCGGGAGAAGGTTGTAGCCGGCCACGACATCGTCTCCCATGGTGTCGGACGAAGACACCACGGCAGGGTGGACCTATATATGCAAATGGATGTTTCGAGAGTTTCGTAAGTTTTAGAAAGTATGTTGCATTCGTTTTATCTTTATTGCAAAAGTAGATTAGAAGATGTTACATATGTTGTAAGTGTTTTAGGGACACGTTGCAAGCATTTGCTCAAAAGGTTTTACCTGTTTCTAGGCTTGTGTTGCAATCGTTCTGGATGTTTCATATGCTCACATAAATGTTGTAATAATATGTTTCAAATGTTTTGGTTGTTTTAGTCTTATGTTGCAGCAAGTTGTTCCATGTTGCAAGGTTTTATTCGAGCGTTTTTATATTGTTCGGCTAGAGACGAGCTGGGGGCGGCGGACGGGGGATGCTGTGGTCGGGGGGGGGCAATGGACGGGTGTCTTTGCGTCGAGGGGGCATGCTCATTCGCGCGTGGGCGGGGCGAAGGAGGACGCGGGTGGGCTGAGCGGGCATCCGGACGTCCGAGCGCTAGATATTCACCTAGGAGAATGTTAGTGGTTTGGGATGTGATGGGATGCCACGATTTCTAGCATGCTCGCTGCAGCTTATCCGCCTGCAGCTTATTTTCTTGATGAAGCTGCGAGCAGGGTTTTCATTCGTGCCAATGTTTTGTTGAGGGAATAGATTTCTATTGTTTTTATGGTTTGTGTGATTCAGTCTAATGGATAGATGGAGATGCAACACCCACGATACTGTTCTGGTTTCACATGTCATCATTAGGCCCTCTTCGGTTTTACAAGTTGCAGTCGTGTATGGAACACACGACTCACATGACTGCAACTTGTATTACCCAATCTTCATAATGAAGCCTAAGTAAACTTGATAACTATCATTGCATGATTTAATAGAGGTAGCGCACCACGAGATCTTGCACCCGTGGCGAACTGCCGAGACATCCACCTTTCCATGCACCGACAAACCAGTCCATGCAATCATGCCATATAGATATGAAGGCACGAACTAGATGAACCGAAGTTCGGTGTTCTACAACCCCCTCAGCAGTCGAAAGAACGAAAGCTGCAAAGCACTCATGCCTTACCAAAGACTCCAAATATTCTCTCCATTAGAGGAGAACACACAAGAGGTGGTTGAATTTTCAATAAAAAAGGCTCTCTTACATTGAAGGAGTACACCAGTATTTATACAATGATGAAAAGTACATGAAGAGTTGACACTTAATCTGGGTGCTAATCACCATACCAAAGGTCCTCTTTACTTTTGGCTAACTAAAGTGGAAACTCAAGCAATCTCTTCAATTCTCGCGGAACTGCTGCACTTGCACTGCATGTGCACCTTCCACTAACACAATCATAACTCTTAGCTCAGAAGTCCAAATGTTGCACCGTTTGTTACGTGTGAAACTAGACTTCAATATCATTCTGTTGATATGGAATAAGAGTGTTGAAACGTGGCCTAGTGTTCCAGGTATATTTGTAAGAAACTATTGAAACATAGTTGAGGTTGAGTTATCATCCTTGTCCGCATCACCTTCATCTAGAGGTGGAATATCCAATCAATCGATCTAAATGTGGAAGGACATGGGAGACGTGGAATATCCAATCAGCCGATCTGAAGGTGGAAGGACGTGGGAGAAAGAAAAAAAGGTGGGAGTATCCAATCAGCTAACCTCCATCTATAGGTGAAATATCCAATTAACTGATCTAAAGGTGGAAGAACGTGGGAGAGAAAGAAGAAAAGTCAGGATTCCCAACGCAATGTATAAGAGAGAGAAAATAAAAAAAAGTGGTTGAGGTGATTTAAAAATGAGAGAACTATTTATTTGGCACTGGAACAAAATCAGTCTTTCTTCTTGACACTTAAAATTTCGGACTTTATTATTTAACACCGAGTTGAAATTTTCTTCCCTAGACGACACTGCCGTCCATTTGGTCTAGTAATGGTGTGGCTGGCAAAATGGCATGTATGCCCTTATTTGTAGTAGAAGCGTGTGGTGCCAAATAGTAGAAGAATAAATGAACAGATTGTCGAATAAGGAAATCATAGATATCATAAATGTACTTGTGCGCTAAAACATGTGATTTTGATAATTGAAGACCACAAATAAATAATCAATAAATTTCAAAGAGCAGGTACACATTAGTTTCATGCACAAGCTTCACAAATCTCATCACATTATCAGTATGCTAAAAGCACACAAAAAAAGAGGAACCACACATTGCACACTTCACACTAGCTTAACAAATCCATATAATAGGTCCACATATGCATACATTAGAGATCTCCATACATTACTAGGTTCATAAACACATGAAGGCTCATAGCATGAGTTTAAGGTTATATTGCACAGCAGCAGGTTCATACACACATCAGTTGCGCTATAGTTCATAGAGCACGTGCCTTACACATTGCCAAGCACATCTACATAGAGAATCTCTTTGCTTGTTGTGCTCCTTTCAGGACTAGCTAGGTCAGCTGTTTTGTTTCTAGTTCCTATTGCAGGGCTGTCAAGTAGCAGCATAAGAATTTTTTCAGCTTTGAAGCAAGCTATTTGTTACTCCTTTCGGCCTTCTCTTTGGTTGGATAATGAAGTTCGATGGAAATTGGCTCGGTTGATTGGAGCCACTTCTTAACCTGCACATGCACATGTATCGAAGTTGAAGTTAGATGTAACAAGAACAGAAAGAAGTACCATGCCAAATGTAACATCTTACCTTTTCGATGCTCCAGAGTTGTTACCATGTTTCTCATTTTTCTTGCTTGTAATCTACATGCTTTGGCTACAGTGAGAGAAGGGGTAAGGCAATTAGATTGGAAACCATGCTTCATTTTAATGAATACAAAATTTAGAACTAATCGACTGTACTAGTTTGAACTCTTCGAAGGTCTAGATGTAGAGTCAACCTTTTTTCTCTTCTTTTTAGTTGTAATTGTAATCTTCTTAATTAGAGACTTCTTAGTTGTAGTTCCTAAGATTTGACTATGTTATCAATAAAGAATGCAATAAGAAATCGGCACAAGTTGTATGTTCGGAGTAGAGAACCGAACATGGCAAAGATGGGAGGAGATTGCATTTTCTAGGTGGAAAAGACATAGATGATGCTAGTACTTCATCCTCTAAAGGCATAATAGAATTTTGAGCTGACTCTGTAATAGGGCAAGTTCACCAGAATTTCAATAATTATAAAATGACAAAAACACCTTTAATAGGGCAAGAGAGGTAACTAAAATGGTTTTGAGAGTTTCTCCATTTTCGAAGTTCCAGCATGAAACTTGAGCTTGCCCGATAGTTTAAGGCAAAAATAACATTTTGCAAGAAAAAAAATGAGACGAGCTCTTTTTTTTTTCTTTTGAGAAGAGACGAGCTCTTTTTTTTTTTTTCTTTTGAGAAGAGACGAGCTCCTGTGATATGTATATGAACTGGGCCGGACAACATGGCCCAAAACCACTTACGAAGCAGTTAGTTGAAGTGGGCCACTCCTACAGCCACCACCTTCCCTCTGGTAGCAGTAGCAGCCTGCAGGCTGCAGGCAGCAAACGAAGAAGAGGCAAACGCGAAACCAAGGCACAAGGCAGCGAGCCAGATCTCGCGTGCCCGCTGCGGCTGTGAAGCCACCATCACCAGATCGGACAACGGGACAAGGCGCCGGAGCTCCAGCAATCCACCGGAGCAGAAGCGGCAGGCCGGCAGCAGATCTCTGAGCAGAGCAGAGGGATAGGAGCAGCCAAGGCAAAGGGCGTCGGCGAAGATGCTGCCGACGACCGCGTCCAAGGGGCGCGGGGCCGCCCGCTCCGCCCCGCCGCTCTTCGGCCCCTACCTCCGCCGCATCGTCAAGGTCGGTAAACCTCGTCCGCGTCTCACTTTTGCTGAATAACGGATCCACTCACGTCTCTCCTGCATCCTCTCCTCTGCTCGTGCCGCCTGTCGATCTGGCGTCGCGTCCCCGCGCACTGGGAGGGATGTGGACGCTGAACCTTAGAGTTTTGTTTCTTAACTGAATGCGGGCTCGCGTAGCCGAGGATCCATTACGTGTGTAGTTCATGGATTTGATTTGGGGGTTCATAGGCTCCAGCCGGGGTATGCCTGTCCCTTGTTAGGTTGGCTTGACTGAGCTTATGCGTTCCTTTGCATCAATGAGCTAAGCCTCGGTTGTATAGTGTTTGTTAATATGGCCTTGCAGTCTCTTATTGACTCTCCTTGGTGCATCAATCAAGTCAGTATAGACCCTATGGGTTTAGAAATCACCAATGCTTGCAGCGCTTCTGATTGCATTCAGTACTTCAAAGTGCTTAATTCCAGTCATCAGTTTCAGATGTTAGGTGATTGTGTAGTCAATGTGACAAGTTTGAGCATTTTGATCCATTTTCAACTATTTGTGTTGCCAAATTGGGCATTTGTTCAGCCCAATATTCCAACTATTGTTATAGTGGTGCTATGAAAATGTATTTTTAATTTTGCACCTTGGAAATTCTGAACTCTGAATAATAGTCTATGAAAATGTATTTTTAATTTTGCACCTTGGAAATTCTGAACTCTGAATAATAGTCAATGTGGTAAGAAGTGTTCTTACAACTTCTCTGTGCTTGTGGTCTCCATAAAACAAGGAGAGAAAACAGATATTTCCAGGAAGAGAAAAGAAAATTCCTTTACAACCTAGTTTCTATACAACTTCTCTGGTATTGGTATTGAATGTATCAAATCTCACAGTAATGTTTAAGCACCTGAGCTTGTTATGTGTGATGTACGGTCATCTGGAAAGGAATCTAATTTTGTTCCTCATTGGCAGTGGCAACAAATGGATATTGAATACACATTTTGGCAAATGGTTTATCTCTGTACTTCACCAAAAGTAGTGTACGCATCCTGCACTCAGTCCAGTTATTAATTGTTTGTATATTCTCTTTGATCATACTTAAGCGTTCTGTACGTACTCTTGGTAACACTAGAATCTGGCACAATTATGAACTGATAATGGTATCATACAACTTATTCCTTCTTGCGTGAACTTCTCAATGCTAATATTTTGTATCATATCTTGCTAATTCCAGTTCAAGATGCTTTGATTATGGAATTTCATCTTTTGAGCATAACTGGTACTTAAACAAGTAAAACAACTTTCTTGATTAAAATCCTGGCAAAATTTAGTTAAATTTTAAACCTAGTTGTTTAAATAACAGCACCTTTAAGAGCCCTACTTGACCACCCACTTAAAACTGAACCTACCCTGACACTCCTGCGCCTGCAGTCAAAGGTCATCTGGCTTATTTTTCTTACCATGAGGGACGCCTTCACTGATTTATCTGTCTTTTTGTAGCATTATGGTCCTAGGATGAAGAGTTTCTGTGTTGAATTACTTTATCTTGAGCCTATCTCCCCAGTAAGCATCTGACTGGTATTTGTCTATTTCTGGCATGTTAATCTCTGGAAGACAGCTATCAGCACACCAAGTATCACAAGCGTACGTGGTCTAACTTTACCTTTCTTATTACTAGCTGATGCATGCTGTACCAGTATAATTCATGTCAACATAAATCATTTTAAATTGTCACTTGTGGTTTACATTTGGTTGAAGTTAGTATCTTTCTTTTTTTTTTCGTTTTTTTGGAAGTGATGTTTCATCATGAGTACTAGTTTTCTATATGACATTTCATTCATATATGCTAGACCATCTGATATTTTCTTACGAAGAGTAGCTACCTGAAGACCTTCATGAAGAAGTCTTTTTTTGAATTTTGACAATGACTCCTTAGTTACGTTGTTTTGCGGGATGAGGCTGAATATACTTGAATATCTCATATGATTTCTTTGATCGCGTTAATCTCTCACCACGATACAAAATGTCATTACCTCTGTTGCTGTTGCAAATTCTCATTATACTGTTTGGAATTTGTGTTCATTGACACTATACACGTCACTTATCTGCTTTGCTTTCAGCATTGTGGATTCCTGATATTTCTTGCCTGTGATTTCAGAAACAAAGAACCAGTGGGCTCGGGATGATCCTGCATTTGTTGTTATTCTGATTCTTTTCCTCGTGTTTGCAACATCAGCTTACTGTGCAGCGTAAGTTCATGATCTTCTAATACATTTATCTTTGTGATTTCTGCAAACATATACATCCTGGCTGGTAGTTGGAAGTCAAATATCTATTTTCTAGTTTCCCTTTTCTATTAAGCTGTCTTCTTTTGCAATGGAAATATCTTTCGTTTGCTTTGCAGGTATGGAGAGAGTGCCTCACATGCTGCTCTAACAATCACTTCAGTTGTGTTTCTGCATTTCTTGTTTGCTGGGATAGTTCTGGCCACACTTTGCTGGTAAGCCTGATGTTATACACTATGCAGTTATAGCGCACCTGCTTGATGTCGTCTTGAGACTGAAAACACAACATTGATATAATCTCTATTACAATGTGAACTGATGTGCAAACTAGACTGGAGTTTTCTCATTCACCATTACTGCCTTTCTTACTCTAATTACTATCAAGTGTTACCTGAACATGTCTATTGCTATGGATAAATTAAGTAGAAGGGGAAAAAAATGCTTGGGCTACAAATTAAGAATGAAATAAGCTCCATCTGCAGTGATACAGCTTGAATTTTGTATTTCTTTAAGAATTGTACTCCTAAAGCATAGTGCCTTTGTAAGTTTTAGCCTAAACTGTCACACCTATGTTCTCTTGTAGTTAAACTCCTATTAGCAGATCATACGCATACCTCTTACATTGGGAATCAGAGTTATTGGATGCTGTAATTTGATGCAGGTTTCTTACAAATTCTTACTTGAGAGAGGAACCTAACAGCCATGTTGTTGAGCAACGCGTGGAGTGGTAATTTTCCTATCTTCTATCACATGTATTTGTTTTCCTGCTTTTCTGTATGCTGCTTATAGGGCATCTACTATTTTCTCTTATATGAGCTTTTAATACAATTTAGCTACCAGACTCATTATTTCTTTGATGTGCTGGTTTCTTTGCTCTAGTTCCCATGTGCTGGCCTCATTTTTGGTCTTGATATACTTCACTTTTGTGTGATACTAGAAGGATACCCCGCGTGTTGCTGCGGGACTTTCTTATAAATAAAGCCGTTGCATGTATGAGTTGGTCAAAATTTGGCTTGGAAAGGTAATGAAAGAATCTAAAAAAAACTAATATTAGATCAAATTATAAGATGATGTAACACAAAACAAATGACATTATATAGATGCCTTGTATTTTTGATTGATTGCAAATAGTAATTGCAGTTAGTAGAAGATGACGTGGATAGTGTGCATGAAGAGATTGAAAGTTAGTGGAGGCAATGTGCCATTTAGTGAAGATGAAGTGCATTGCTTGCATGTTGATATTGAAAGTTTTTTTTTGGTGGGCAGAGTGGGGGGGGGTAAAGATGTCAACGGGTACGTACCCACTGGGTACTATAAACCCATACCCATGCCCGCCATGAAAAATATGCCCGTTAAAAAACCCATACCCGCAGACGGATATAAATAGACGCCCATACCCGTGCCCGAACAGGTAATGGGTACCCGCGGGTTGCCCATGCCCGACAAACTGCAGGCTTCATCAGCTGTGTAGTGCATGCTTGTGTTTGCCTTGGTTTTATAGAGTGCGCGTAGCTTCAGCTGTGCATGACTGAGCGAGGTGGGACTAATGTGCTTGCTGCCAACGAAGCACTAGCACTAGAGCCTGAAGAACATACCATTCCAGCAGTTGGGCCCAGGTGGCCAAGCCGGCCCATAACAGGATCGGTGGCTCAAAGCAGTTTGGCCTCCAGGCAAGAAGAGAGTAGCGGCTTGTTCTTTTTTGTCTTTCAATTTGTAGATGGTTTCTCTACATTGTTGAATATTTCTCTATGCGAAAATTTTCTAAATATATTTAGTGAGCATATAAAATTATTTGCTAATACAAGATCTAAAAATTAAAGGATTTGTTTACATACGCGTGCCTTTATCAAACCGTTTAGGATGGGACAGCCGTCATATGCGCCTCTAAATGGATCAATCTAGTTGAGAAATTTAGGATGTTGTAGGATGATTTGAGCTACTATTTTATGATGGAACGGGTTTAAAAAACCCATGGGTTTGCGGGTTTGGGTACTGCACGCCCACAAACCCACTGGGTCTAACTTTTTGCCCATTAACAAACCCATGGGTAGAGAAATTGACCCATACCCATGCCCTAATAGGGTAAAAACCCGTCGGGTTTCGGGTTTTGGCATTTAGCGATAGACGTTGTGGATAGCTTGTATGTTGACATAGAAAGGTAGTGGGGTTTGTTTTTGTAAGATAGAATAGATTAACTGTGCCATGCACAAATTCTTTATTCACTGCTTTGTTATTAAGATGTAGGCCAATATTGCTAACAGTGCACACAAAATTCTTGGCAGGCTCTATGCATTCGATGTTCACTGTAACTCGTTCTTTCCTGCGTTTGTCATCCTATATGGTAAGCAGTCTCAAGATGTCTGTCCATTTGAAACTTAGTTGCAAGTTTCAACTTGTAGTATACTAGTATCTCATAGTACAAGTTTCTCTTCCCAGTGCTGCAGTATTTTCTGTCGCCTCTATTGGTCGCACATGGCTTCTTTCCAGCTTTGTTATCTAATCTACTCTTCGTGGTGGCAATTTCTTATTATCACTACCTGAACTTTCTAGGATATGATGGTATGTTTTAGTTTTATATATAATCTTTTCTCAGGAACTTCATTTTGTTGTATTTGTGCACTTCGCGCCTGACAAAATGTAAATACTTTGCTGTAGTTCTTCCATTTCTGGACAGAACAACATTCTTCCTGTACCCGATTGGTCTCGTCATCATCCTGTCTCCACTTAGTAAGTGCATCTTTTTGTACTGTTAGACTAATCTCCCGACACCTCTCTCACATGTTCATTCATATCATCTTGCAGTGATACTAATAGGGTTCAATCCGACAAGATACTTTCTAAGCTTGTACTTTGGTTAAAGTCTACGGCTAGAATGCGAAGTACGAGAAAAATATGGTGATTGGTGACAGAGCTAATGGCAGATCTGGATACATACTCTGTAGTAAAGCATTTTAGATCTCGCGAGTGAGGTTCAGAAAAGCTCGGAGCATTCATTCTTTGGATGTATCAGGCGCCTGTGGCAGGCTACCAATAGAGGACAAAGCCTTTTGATTGGTATCAAATATCCCTTTTTGGTGTCAATTTGTTTATAATATGAGCTGTTTTCTTTAGTTTGGGCCTCCGACCCAGTGATGATCAGTGTATACTTGTAGTGGGCAATACTACGTAGAGTCTATTGTACTATCACATTGACATCAGAATTGCATCACGTTCTACCATCAGTCAACTCTTGCCAAGTTTATTATTGGGAGGACATGCTCGTTTTTGCCAAACCTGAATCGCTCGCCGGGCAAACACAACAGTCAGGTAATCATCGCAACAGCACCTTTTTCCCGTTCTTCATACTACTAGTAACACATGCATGAAAATGTCCTTAACAACCACCTGCACAGGTTCTCCGCAAAGTTCTAGCCGGGAACAGTGTTTTTCTCTCACATCAAACCAGCCAGCAGTAAATAATCCACGATACGATACGGCCTCCCGAACAGGCTGCTAACAATTCCCGGGCAAACTGCAAACGCGACAGTCACCCTGTAAACTTCCATTTCTCCTCCCACCAAAAGTTCCCACAAAACAAACAGAACATTTGTAAACATCTAACTTCAAACTTGTATCCACCACTTGAATTTTCACTAACGACTAACCAAACGTGGCGTCAGAGTTGTAGTGCTCGCCTAACATCATTTGACCAAGCGTCAGGCTGGCGGGCGAGGATTGATCGGACATTCGGATTGGGTCAAGTGAGAGTCGGCGGCAGTTGGGCATTAATGCGCCCGCGAGCTGCCTCGGCCTCCTCCTCCTCCTCTTCTTCTTCTTCAAGTGCAGTGCGGTTGCTAATAATAATCTGACGAGTTGACTGGCGAGCTGCGGCAGCATGGAGCAGGGCGACAAGAAGATAGTGGGGCTTGAGGTGGGGTGGAGCTTTGTGGCCACCGGCTTGTCCAAGATTAGGCGCGCCATCGATGGCGGCGGCGAGGGCTTATCCTCCGAGGAGTCTTCACGTACGTACTGCACTGCACTGCTCTCATCTACTCTATATTTGAAGCTACCTGGTTCAGTTTCCTTGGGTCACCATCACCAGTCACCACCCCTCCGATCCTCTATCTGAATGTGTTCTTGGCATTGCGGTAGGACGGTGTACTGCATGTGCACTCAGGCGTCGCCTCACAACTACTCCGAGCAGCTGTACGAACGCTACAGGGAGGATCTGGATGACTACATCAAATCCAACGTGCGGACGCTAGCTTCGTAACTAATTACATCAAATCACGTGTTCTGCAGCTGCTTAGTTACCACTGTTCATGTTGTAGGTATTGATGGATGATACCTTCTGAATTCTGACCTCTATCTCTCTGCTGTTCACATAGGTTGAGGAATGTTTACAAAACGAGAGGGAGCGAGTTGCAAACTATTTGCATTCCTCAACTGAACAAAAGTTAAATGAGGTTGTGTTTTGTGCTTGAGCATGTTCTATGCTCTTTGTGTTATGTTTGATGTTTCTAACCGGTTTGTTCAGTGATGTATAATATCCATTAATCTTCGGTGCTTGCAGGCTGTGAAATCAGAATTGATAACAAAGGACGCAGAGCCTGAATACAAGTCTTAATGAGGATAGTTCTGAAGGAGGAGCTTATCAAATAAATCAAGCTTGTTGGTGTATTATGTTTCAAAGGAATAGTTAGGTTTTATTATCCTAATACATACATCTGTAAGATACTCATTTTTGTGAAATTTCCAATTGATTGAAGTTCCAGGTTTGCACCAATAGCACAAACTCTGTATCAGCTTGGATGGCTATTTCAATTTCAAGAATTTCAATGTGCCCAGCTGGCCATTCAACTGATTAAGATAGACCGACGATCTAGTCAATGATGTTTAGGCTCTTCTCTAATAGATGGTGGACTGTTTCCAGCATAAAAATATTTTAGCCTTACGATATTCAAATGTAAAGCTAGAAACTATTGAAATTGAAATAACGGTGTGTTCCTACTTCCTAGAGGAAAATCTACAAAATCAAATTTAAAGTACACTGGCATATCCTTGGGAAACATTTTTCACCAAATATCCTTCTGAATATTTGTTCAATCACTAACTTTCATCAGATATATGCTTACTGTTGTATTTGCTTAGCCTTATTGCACTTTGGTAATAAGAATTATTGTTCCAAAAGAAGAAAATCTTTAAGCACAGTTGGGCAGATTTGAAATGAAGTGTGAATTTATATTTTACCAATGTTTAAACCGCCAACAACTGTACAGAGATCTCAACAAATTTACAGTTAGTTCATCTGCCGACTGCTTTTGCTGCAGTCTTGATACGATATTGCCATGGTCATTCTAGGCTTCCCTCCTCAACTGCATGCCGGTTGTGCTTACCATGGGCCGTGCATAATGTCTTCGGAGCCCATAAGAATTATGAATTGGCGGGCCTCGGTTATCGGTATGTAGTTGGGCTAAAATACCTCCGACTGGATTTTATGATCAGGACCAGGAAATTGTTTGGTAAAGTAACATGGTGTTTTTATAAACAAAATGTACTTACAGTTGACGTGAATAACAGCACCAATTCTATACCAGTTAATTGGTAACCTCAAGTCAGGAATCATGGTTGTTGCTCCAAGAGTGGGAGATTATATTCTTTTGTAAAACTTTTATGTTGGTGTAGCATTATCTGTCTAGAAACATTCAAAGAACTGTTGCATGGTGTGGCTTTGTATTGCTTAAGGAGTAAAATGCACCATGGGTCCATAAATTTTTCATGGGTTCTCATTCGGGTCCTCAAATTAAAAAGTGACCATCCAGATCCTCAATCTACTGTGGATTCTCACATGTGTCCTCTAACTAAAAAAGTGATCATTTCGGTCCTTCAACTAATGTCGTGCCTGAGTAAATGTCTAAATCCCACCACATCACATTTATATGCCTACGTGCCAACATGGATGATGCCAGTTAAAACTTGCAGAAAAAGCCCTTCCTCTCTACTCCATGTCTACTCCATACTCTATTTCCTGTCGGTCCCGTGCCCGCCTTGTGGCTGCGCTTGCGTGCTTGCCTGCACCGCCCGTTGACCTTGCGGCTTTTATCTGTGCTCTGGAGGCACACGCTCAGCGGTCAATGGAATAGACAAAGAGAGGTGGACTGCACGAGACAGAGGGGGTTGCAAGGCGAGAGAGAAAGAGATGGAGGTTTTTTTGCAACTTTAACCAGCATGACCACTTAGGCAGCTGGCGGTGGCGTGGTGGATTTGTATCTCTATTCAAGCGCAAGAGTAGATTCAGGATCAGTCGCAAAAAAAAAGAGTAGATTGAGGATCTAGATGATTGCTTTTTTGGCATGAGGACCCAAGTAAGAATTAGCAATAGATTGAGGACCCTGTGGTCAATTTTTTAGTTCAAAGGCCCAACTGAGAATCCATATGTTGATCGTACAAGATACTATAAAAGGAATACCAATGATGTTCAATTATATACGCAAATTAATTAATTGTACATGAAGGTAGGGAATTTAACAAGGAGCTGATAATTTAATTAAATTCACTTGTCGCTCTTGATCCTGGCCGTTGGGTTTAGACCAGTTAATCCTCATGTAGGTTTGTATGTACCTCAACAAAAATCAAATTGTGGATGAATAAAATCCATACTTTCCTTGAAATTGACTCACATTTAATCCGTGTTCCATAAAAAAGATCAAGCTAACCGCCTTGTCTCTAAACCACTCGTTTAATTTGTGAGGAAACCGCCAAAGGAAACTATTATCATAACGATGGATGAGCCAATTATATTACTTCTAAGAAACAATATCCTAATTATTATTGACCAAATAACTATAAATTTTCTCTTTTTTTGAAAAAAACTAGCTTATAAATCTGTTCTATATTATTAAGAAAAAAATATGAGAAAATATCACGTTGGACCATGTATTCATGTACATTGAGCCTTGCAATTACAATAATATTTTAATTTTTACCATGTATAAGGAAAAAACACCTATATTACCAATGCATGCTCATGTTGCGAGCAAATACATCCACCTGAGCCTGACCGCTCCACGCATTCAAGAAAAAGCCGCATTGCTGCACAACCACCTGAGCAGCCTACACATTGATTACTCCGTATCTGGTAGTTAATCATTTAGCTAACTGTTCGTCTTGCCCTATGAAGTCACTGCCACCACTAAAGCAGCAGTGCGACAAGTGATCATCCCAACGAACCAAACATGACAAAATGGTGCGCTCGCGCTACTGAAGTGATCCCCACCACTGCAGAGACAACTTGTAGTCGTGCTGTCAAAAGAAGGAACCAACTACCTTCGAATTGCCATCGCATTATTGGCATATTTCTTAATTGTTTGGATCATTTCTGGCTCAAAAGCATGCAACATGCATGACACATCAATTAAGCACCAACAAATGAGGAGCCTATATGATGCCCGTTAGATGCCCATCATGAATAAATAACAATGACATGGAGAACTAACCTTTGAATGCTACTTAATTGTAAACCAAAGGCTAAACACCAGCATGCTTTATTATTTTTCTTCAAGTGCATACATCCACCTGAGCCTGACCACTCCACGCATTCAAGAAAAAGCCGCATTGCTACGCAACCTACACATTGATTACTCTGTATCTGGTAGTTAATCATTTAGCTAACTGTTCGTCTTGCCCTATGAAGTCACTGCCACCACTAAAGCAGCAGTGCGACAAGTGATCATCCCAACGAACCAAACATGACAAAATGGTGCGCTTGCGCTAATGAAGTGATCCCCACCACTGCAGAGGCAACTTGTAGTTGTGCTGTCAAAAGAAGGAACCAACTACCTTCGAATTGCCATCGCATTATTGGCATATTTCTTAATTGTCCGGATCATTTCTGGCTCAAAAGCATGCAACATGCATGACACATCAATTAAGCACCAACAAATGAGGAGCCTATATGACGGCCGTTAGATGCCCATCATGAATAAATAACAATGACATGGAGAACTAACCTTTGAATGTTACTTAATTGTAAACCAAAGGCTAAACACCAGCATGCTTTATTCTTTTTCTTCAAGTGCATACATCCACCTGAGCTTGACCACTCCACGCATTCAAGAAAAAGCCGCATTGCTGCGCAACCACCTGAGCAACCTACACATTGATTACTCCGTATCTGGTAGTTAATCATTTAGCTAACTGTTCGTCTTGCCCTATGAAGTCACTGCCACCACTAAAGCAGCAGTGCGACAAGTGATCATCCCAACGAACCAAACATGACAAAATGGTGCGCTCGCGCTAATGAAGTGATCCCCACCACTGCAGAGGCAACTTGTAGTCGTGCTGTCAAAAGAAGGAACCAACTACCTTCGAATTGTCATCGCATTATTGGCATATTTCTTAATTGTTTGGATCATTTCTGGCTCAAAAGCATGCAACATGCATGACACATCATTTAAGCACCAACAAATGAGGAGCCTATATGACGGCCGTTAGATGCCCATCATGAATAAAATAACAATGACATGGAGAACTAACCTTTGAATGTTACTTAATTGTAAACCAAAGGCTAAACACCAGCATGCTTTATATTATTTTTCTTCAAGTGCATATCTAAAGTGAAGTGAGCTGGGAAACAGCCAGTGGGAGCAATGATATGTGCAAATCCAGTCACTAGTTTGGGAAGTTGAGGGGGTGGAAAAGAAGGGGTAGGGAATGTTTCTGTTACAAAATATTTGGTCTGAGTGGGTTGCAGCTTGCAGAGGCTGCTACCAAGATCCCATCAAACAGCGGCGCTGCTCCCCTCTTCTAAACCACAACTAAATTCATTTTTGTCGAACCAAATGTAGCAAATTAAACACAAACATATGCAGGTTTACCGGTTTTTTGTGCAGCAAGGATTATTGTCTATTAGGTAACACCATCTCTCATAAAGATTTGTTTTGGATTTGACATTCTCTACATTGGAAATATTAGAGAGTAGAAGTAATGGTATGCTATTATACATACACACACACACACACACACACACACACACACACACACACACACACATATATATATATATGTGGGGCCTTTCAGGGTTTTATGTACACAGTGCAAGTAATAATATATAAATAGGACCTTTCTTTATTTGAGTAATGCAGATTTCATCAGCTGTGGAGGACGTTGGAATTCAGTCACACAAACACAAAAGATAGTCCATTATTGTTGCTTCCTAATCAGCATACAAATTCTTGTTGGTTTAGTGGGATCTCCAACTAAAATGTGATCTCAGTGAGCGCATGCTTTACTTGTTAGTTTAATATCTCAGTCTTACCTAATTTCCATGTGCATTTTCATTGTCAAGAGGGTGCAGCTTGGTACGAATCATTGTATATGTATAACCGGTGATAGATGAGCAGTTACAAGACGTCAGGACTCAGGACCGTTTTGGAACCGTTTGGCCAGAACCTTTCTCTCTTTGGTTCTTTCCTTCGCATGTAAGATATGGTTAAGATCTTGGCTGTCCACTTTGCAACAGAAGAATCTCTCCACTTCACGTAAGAATATGCTCCGTTAGAGAAAAAACATGAGGTGCAGAGCAAGCTTTCTATTAGCTTCTGTATTTTGTTTTT